GAGAGAGAGAGAAAGAGAGAGAGTAAATTACCTGGATTATCTCTCGGCCGGGAAACACACCCCACGTGACTGCAATTGCCTTATTGTCCTCAAAATTTGAATACGATTTTTTGCCCTTAAAATAATTGATTCAAGAAATGGTTATTTTATATAAATAAATATAAAATCCCATCAATCACATTTATGTCAATTTATCAGTTTTAATCACAAACTTTGTATCATAAATATAAATCACACACACATGGATATAGTCATCATAAATGACTAAATGAATCAAATAAATGATTAAATAAAACAAACATAATATACTGTATAATGCACTGTAATACATGTGCAATACTTACAGTGCTGTCAACGATCTGGTAGTTAACCATCGGGTAGTTCTTCAGCGCTTCAATCAAAGCCATCACATTCTTCTCGTTCGTGAAGAACTCCAGATATGCCTTAAGACAGACACCAAATGGCAGACAATTGCGAGAAAATAATGAGAATTACATTAAAAACATTACACAAAATGTAGTTAAAAATGAATCACCTTTTGGTAAACATAGCCTCCTTTGGCGCCCCAGCCGTGGACGGGATGTGTTGAGTCAACTCCGTTGATATTAGGCTGCGAACAGATGGTGAGAACACCTCTCTTATTGTATTGAGACAATTGTTTGACCAGAAGCGACGTCTCGGCGCTCAACGGATCCATATTCCAGGGGATGACGGAAACGGTTTTGTCGTATTTGTTCTTAGCGTTGGACACATAACAGTGAAACACTTCCCACACGTCCTCTTCGGTGGCCAACTCGCGGCCCCACATCTGCAGCAACTCTTTGCGGCTGTGTTTGGGCTCCAGAAACAGGTAGTAGTTCTCGAGGGTCTGGAAGGCGGGTGAGTCTACTTGACCCCAACGGCCGTTCGGGAACTCGTCCCACGACTGGGTCCGACACACGTAACTCCGCGGCCGTCCCGACCAGTAGATCGGTCGCACGTCTTCGGCGGCGCGCTTATGATTGCCGGTCGGCCACCACGGGAGCGGTCGCGACACCTGCGACATGAGGCCCAACTCCTTGAGTATGGCACACGTGGCCACCTCTCGGTTCATTGTGTAGAAGTGTAGGCCAGGCGTGACGTTGGCGGCCAACACCTGCCGACACAACCCCACCGCCCACTGAATGCCGTAATTACGGACGGCCTCGTCGTTCGAGCGAATGATGTCGAGATCGTTGAGCAAAGTGTCCGGTATATCAAGTTTGGACAGTTTGCCGATCTTCTCGAGCGACTCGTAGCTCTGAATCGGCATAATTCCGGCCAAAATCGGCACTTCTATACCGATTCGGCGACAGTTCTTCACGTACTTCACAAACACGTCGGACTTGAAGAAGAGCTGAGTGATGATGAAGTCGGCGCCGGCGTCCACCTTCTCCTTCAGCCGCTGCAGATCCTCAGCGACGGACTCGGACTCCGGATGAGCCGACGGATAGCCGGCCACCGCTATCGTAAAGTAGTCGCCGTATTCGCGCCGTATGTATCGAACTAAGTCCACGGCATAGCGAAACTCGGGCGCCAACTCGTGCTGCGAGTCGTCGTCGTAGTGGTCGCCCACCCGATCGCCTCTCAGCGCCAATATGTTACGAATGCCAATGGTTTTGGCCCTCTCCAGGTGCCGGCGCAGGTCCGGCTCAGTCATACCCACGCACGTGATGTGAAGCATAGTGTCCAGACCGGAGTAGTTGAGCGCCACACCAGCGATGGTGATGCTGGAGGTCTCGGTGTCGGCGCCCGGATTGCCGGCCGAGTGCCACGTGATGTCGCAGAAGAGTGGGCCCGTCTGCCGGAGCCGATCGAAACGGGCGACCAAATTGATGGCCGCCTCTTGTGTTTTGGGCGGAAAGAACTCAAATGAGAAGAACGGGACGTTTCCGTCGGCCATCCGTTTGCGCATCCGTGCGATCAGCGGTACGTATGGGGCCGTTGGCTGCGAGGTCTTCCGCGCCGGCACTCCATTGCTCACAACTCCATCTTTCACTCCCTGGCCGTTGGCAACCACTTCACCCGATTCGGGGGCCGCTTTCAAAGTCCCGTTTTTGATCATGTTTTATGTGTTGACACAACTCTGTTTGAAATATAAATTTATGACAAAATTGTAGATTAAAAATATTTTACTTCTCTCTCTCTCTCTCTCTCTCTCTTTGTTGTTACCATAATGTTTTTGCTCTTACTTTAGACACACATACCATCCCATTTCACAGCTGACACCCTATCCTTTAACACAGCCAATACTCCCCACCTTTTAAACATTGTTTACAAAAT